TAACAATTTAATAAATTGGTAACCAATTGCGCACATTTTTAATAATGATAACAAGTTGTTTTAATTAAAATTACCTCCTATCCTATAAAAATATCTTCTAGCTATATAGGCTAAAGAAACCCGGCTGAAGACAGGGAAGGTGGGCCGAAGGCCCACTAAAAGGAGGGTCTGTGAGGAGTAAAAATTTATTTCTCTCCCCCTCCCCTTAGGAAATTCCTGGCTACAACTATTGTGGGACTATTCTAGTATTGACTTCCTGTCCTCTCCAACCAAGCTCAACATCTTGGACTACAAAGAACAATATAAAATTTTAAAATATTCAGAAATTTTGAAGGACCATTTTTTCTTACCAATCATTTTTACCACAAATACCACCTTCATTAAACTTGTCCTAGCATTCTTCAAAAATCTAGGCTCTCAAATCCTTTCTCATTAAATGCCAAATCAGTCTTATCATAGCAAAATAAGTTCTGTCATTTAAAACCAAATCAGTCTTGTCATTAAGAGCCAAATCAATCTTCTCATTTAGAATCAAATTGGTAATAAATACCATTTAGCTAAATCAGTCATGTCATTTACAGATAATAAGCATTGTCATTAAGAGCCAAATCCGCACTTATTAAGAGTCCGAAGTTTTTCCATTTAGAGCCAAATCAGCATTGTTATTAAGAATCAAATCAGCCTTGTCATTAAGAATCAAATCAGCCTTGTCATTTAGAGCAAAATGAATCCTGTCATTTAGAATCAAATAAGTCCTGTCATCTAGAGCCAAATCAGCATTGTCATGATTCTTGGTAAAATAAAATTTTTGTTCAATAGCAATATTTTCACAAGTGCTACATTTTTTTTATATTCTAACTTATATATTTTATTCTTAAAAATTAAAATGAATCATGATTTGCATAATTAAATCAAAGAAATAAAAACTTCTGAAAATTAATAAAAATATTTTTTTCCACCTCCCATAAAAATTCCTGAGAGAGCCCATGAGCCAATCTCCTATTTCTATTAGTCTACTCAATTTTGCAAAATAATTGGCATCTTATATTGCTCATTTGTCATTTATTTGTTTGCCGTTCGAACCCCAAAACTCCGGAAAACGTTCACTTTAAATGCAAACATGAAATTATAGTAAAAATAGCTTAAGGCCAGTAGGTAGAATATTTAGTTTCATCTTTCTAAGAGTAAGATTCGCATTTCCAGGTTTCCGCTTATGCTTAGTAACTCTCTGTTGAACGCTATGAACAATATAATCTACTATGCATTGAATTGTCAAACATTTTATGCAGTACATCTCTCGCTAAATAAATTGGTTCTTGGGTAAAAGGTGTATCACTTGCATGTCTAAGATATAGTGCATTACTATTTTAGTTGCTTCCACACTCGAAAATCTTGGTAGCGAGGTTCCGCTTTAAAAGATATAGGAATGCAATCGACTTCACTGTTCAGAAATAATATCTTTACCGATGCCAAAAAATAGGGCTTGCTAATCTATTTGTATAATATGTTCAATGGTGTATCCAGGATTTCATTTTAGGACCCGTTCAAAAATAAAATGAGCAAAAAAAGAAATCCAATCTAAAATTAGCAAAGAAAAAACGGAGAAATATAAATCGAAAATAAGCAAAATAAAAAATTTCGAAGCCCGTTCAATTTCCGATATGGGTTCCTTTAATAAGCCATTGAATAAGCTGGAGTTTGTATCTAAAAAGGTTCTAAAAATATTACATAAAAAAAATAACTTGTAATTTAATTAATCATTGTGGTAGCATCCTTTGTAAATTCTGCTGGTTTATATTAATTTAAATATACATTTTTTAAACATATTTTTTAAAAAACGCTTCCGCTTCAATGAAGAGAATTTTAATATACGTTATATAGAAAAATCAGAGAACATTTATATAAATAGAAACATAATTTTAGTGGCAATAAATTTTAATCGGAGTCGATTATTTTATGGCTTTAAATATCGTGATAATTAAATATTTTAGTTGTCATTCTTTCCGTCAGTAGGTAATTATATTCTTTAAAATAGCATAATATTACAAAAATTTTATAGTTTTAGTAAAAAAAACATTTATTAATGCTTTTATCAAACTTAAATTTATAAATAAATGCCTATATCAAACTTTAAAATATTTTATGATTGAAAATTTATTATTTTATAGATATTTATACAACAAATAGTTTGTATCTATATATTTTGTATATTACGTATAACAAAACAATTATATTCATTTTAATATTTTTATGTTCGCCTTTACATTAATAAAGGTTTGTACATAAAACCAAAATTTGACATTATTATATATGACAGATCTATAAAATCGCATTTGCATTATTAAAACTTAAAAATCATTGCTAATTTAAAAAAATTTTTAATAATTATTTAATTAATTAATAAATCGAAATATATAATATATATATATCAGTAGCACTTTTAACTGCTGGTAGGAGGAACCACCTCAGTAAATCTTAGGCAGATAAGGGGTATTTTAGCTTCATTTATATATTTGACATCGTTGCGTCAGGTGCAGATAGTTTTTTTAGTTTAAATTAAAAAATTTATTTTTAAGTATTTCTAGGACTTGGGATCTCACACCTGCAAGCTCTCCGATGAGCCTAGGAAAGACTTATTCCTACAAAAGTGGCTTGTTATATTTATCCTCAAAGCGAACTATATTCGCTTCAATGGTAATCTACTTACCGAGCCTACTTACATTTCCTCCCCTATTTTCTTCTCAACTATATTTTGGGAACTTTGAAATAATTATAATAAATTGATTATAACAAAATAATTAATTTTAAAATTAAATACCTTTTGCTAATTTTATAAAAGAAAGCATTTTTTATTTTTGTCATTTATACCTCTTTCAGACGATTCCTAGAATCCTTAAACAAAATAAATATTCATGAAAAATCATTTTAGCACCACATATCAGAAATGATATATGGCTAAAACACCTTCGCCAAATTCATTTAATCCCCAATTTAGAAGAAATAGGCCTGCCCATTTTTTCATATTTTTTAAATTTAGATCAGCAAACACTGATTTTTATATTTAGATGTACAGTATTTATTATAAAATCTAGGAGTGGAAATTCACGATTGCGGATTAAAAAAATATTCTGAGTAAAGTATACAAAATAATAGTTAAAATGCCGATTTTATCATATAATAAATGAAGAAATGATATAAAATATTAAACAAAAATTATGAGACATTAAATTTTCTGACAGACAAAATAAGTTCTCTCGCCTATTGGTTAATTTAGTGTATTCATCTAATATTGAATCAATAGATGCATTATTTATAATACTTTTCCAATGCTCAAAAGAGCCAACGAATTCAATCTTTCCTGTCCACGTATTAATGGTGAAAACAAACTTTCATGTAAACACGAATTAAGGAGTATAGTGACGCAATTTTAAGGCATTTATATATGCGAGGGAATATATCGTTGCATATCAGTTTTAGCAAATTTATTAATAGTTTAAAATTCGGTTCTTGTGTCTATTGTAAATTAAAATTGCGTATTCTACAATTGGTTCAGAAGTTAATGTAAAAAAATAATTTAATAACATCAGAATTTTAAATAGAGGGATAAGGGATGTACTTATAGCTTTTAATATATTATTGTTTTCTTGTCTAAATCTTTTTTAAAATTCATTTATCATAATATCCAAAATGTTAGATCAGAAAAATAAGACGAAACATTATCATCCATTTGAAGCGAATAATTCAAAATGGAACTTAATTATTTTCTTTTATTTGGGATTATATTATATAAATTACAAAATTTATTTTCTTCAGCAAATAATTAAGAAAAGGGAATTATTTCTTAATTCTGACAAAAAAAACGATAAGAGATTTAACAGCAGCCAATGCTCTTGATATGCTCGAATCTGATTTTTGCAAATATTTAGAAATGTTAGAAGAACACATTGATAATAATTTTTGAATATAAACATACAAATAATTGTAGTAAATTGCAAATAATGTATAAAATCCCTTTTGCTTTCGCTACATCACCGGATCTATAGTTTATAGATAAAATATGAGTGCAGGGAGGATCGTTTTTGTCACATCTATCGTTCTAATATGGAATCCTCACCTGTAAAACTGAAGGTAGTGTTGTTAAACGACTCGATTTAAGCCGATTTTTAATAATGGCTAACTTAATTTTTAGCCGGAAAAATATTTTTTAAGCCTCGAGATTTCGCCAATAGATGTTCAAACTATGAGCAAAATCTTAAGGCTTGCATAATATTTTTCCTAATAAAATATTGAGCTAGCCGTTTTTAAAAATCGGCTCAAAATGAGCCGTTTAAAAACACTAACTGAAGGCATCGATATTTTTGCATTTAACCCTAATTTTAGTTGTAAGATTTTGTTATGATGGTTAAGAAACATGAATGCCTTCTAAAATGTAAAAACTTGGTTAATTGGAGTCTGATTTGAAGGCAGAGCCAGTAGCGTAGGCAATGAGGGAATCCCCTCATGAAAAACATGATTAGGTAAAATAAATTATTATACTTTTATATTTATATCTAAATGAAAATTTGCTAATTCTTTTAAATTGAAAAACCCACTTATTAATTTTCTAATTTTATAAAATAATAAATTTCATTACGTTTTGATATGAGTCAGATTCATATCAAAATTTTTGAAAAATCTAACTAGATTCAAAATATAATGAAATTAAACTATTTTACTTCTCTATCTATTAAATAAACCGAAAAGAACAAATAATATGTATATAGATAATATAATCATAAGATTCAAAAATATTGTGAATTAAGGAAAAAGATTTTTTCTTACTTAGGTTATTTTATTGACTATCATTAAAAAATTATGTAAAAAATAATATCACATCAGAATATTGTATATTTATTTATAAAAGATTTATATCAAAGGCACAGAATCTTAATATAATAAGGAAAATATATAAAACAATTTCAAATAATTCATAATGCTTTAAATTTATTATGGATTTTGGCAGATATCTTGAAGAATCTTTTGTCGAATATAGTTAAATGACATGTAGTAGATGTGACACTTTCAGATACTAGGCTAAAAATATATAAACATCATAATATGTTAACTTTGTTGAATTAGAATTCATATCTTCTAGTTCTATATCATGGTCTTCAAAAAATATTATTGTTTCATTTCAGTATGAACGTTCTGATTTTAATAAAATAGAATAAAACAGATAATGACTTTATTTTTTTTTCTAACTTGGATCACAAAATGAAAAGCACTATTTAAAATACTTTTACTTTTTAACATTTAAAATACAAATATATTAAGTATAGTCTCTAAAATATTCATTATACAAGTATTCGTGATATTGCTCAATTCTGTTAGCAAATAAACTATACATATATAAAAATTTGATTACTTAGAATTTCAGACCGCTTCATACAACTTAAATTTGAATTCTATTCAAAGCAGCATGGACACCATTTTTTAAAAAAAATTATGATATTGACATAATGTGATGATATCAATAAAATACGCTTGATATGTATACTTTTCCTTATTTTTAAATCTAATTACTACTCAGAACAGCTATTTAGAGTTTAAAAAAAAAGACAAGTCAAGATTCATAAGAATTGAATAAGATTATCTAAGGCTGACTTTGGGATAGATGATGATTATATTATAATATCAAAAAATATTAACGAATCTTAAATTTTTGGTATAAATCATTCAACGATCTTATACTTATTTTTTTTTTTAATTTATCATAAGTATAATAACATTTATAATGGACATAATAACTATGCATAAAGTTAATTAACTATTGAAATAATTTGCAATAATTTTAAGCGTCACTTGGGGACAAAATAATAATAGATTTTTTTTAAATTTAACAAAGAATGTTTAAAAAAATAGATTAAATAATTTAATATTTATATTACTATGTTCTTTTTCTTCTGAAAAAAGGATTTATTGTTTAATGCGGTACAATACAGCAATCCTTAATATATAATATATATACGTAATATATATTATATATAGCATTTTCTCTGGAGAATTCATTTTCAATTTTTAATATTTTGGTAAATTTTGTATTATTATATTATTGCAAGCACAACAATAAGTTTTAATTTAACCACTTTTAAACTCCACACTTATATTATATTATCATATAAATATCGCTGTAAATATGATTTAATATAATAGTTATCCTATTCGATTTTTTTTTATGTGGTATATCATTTCTTTCAAAGCAGTTACTCTAAAAATAAATAAAATATATATTCTCATTAGCGTTTTATAAAGAATTCATTATAAATAAAATATTAATAATTTTTCTCTTAAAAAGAAAGGCACAATATAACCCTCTTATAAATCTTTCAAATATTCTTTTTTTATAAAAAGCAATAAACGTTAAGAAGAACTAGAAACAAATGTTAAGATTTCCCGAGGCCCGAAATTCTAAAAACAGAAAGGGCAGACCGGATTAAACGGCAGATTCTGCTCGTTTGCGATGAAAATTATTTCACTTCAATTGTTACTGATAGAATAATCATTAGCCTATAAAGCAAAACAAAATTCGAACCTCATATAATGCGGATGCGATTTAGGATTCCGTAGATGCCAATATTTTTTACCATCTCGCTTAATTACCTGATTATATGGCAAAATATGTGGTTAAGATAAATTAAAGCCAGAAAAAACATAAATCGCTATTTTTATTGAATAAATTAGCAATTTATAAGTTGGAATTACATGAATTTACAAAAAGGATCAATCGACAGCAGGCAGTATACTTTGCTTTGAGGGAGGGGTGGGGGGCTAACTTTTATAAAAAAATTCTGAAATTTATCTTGAAGTTATCATTAAAAATCTAAAATTTTGTAAATTTATTAGGTTATATAGTGACTAAAAAATCGATAGTTACTAGGATCTAAATAATCTGAATATTTATCAATTATTATTCAGAAAATAATTGTATGCACAAATTTTCTGTTATAAATTATTAAATAACGGCATCACCGAGGCTAAGGATATATTTCGGCTAAAATTTGGTTTCGTCTTTTTTGGAATGAAACGGCTAAAAATGGCGTTTAGTATACAACAAAAAATATTTGCTGAAAAAAATTTGTACAAAAACATATATTTATTTATAAGAATTGCTTATTAGAAAAAAATACACCCATTTCTAATATATAAACTATATTTAAAATTAAATGTTGTAGATTAATACTCAACGATATTCTTAAGAAATATTGCAACCCGCCATCAAATAAGTATAAGCAATCTCCTTTGTGATTGAATCTAAATGGTTACGTCAGTATTTGGCAATGTTGCCAAAAACCTCGATTTATGTTATCCTTAAAAAGCGGTTAAATCGAGATTACTAAACAAATATTACCTAGCCATCGTCATACCAAAACATTACAAAAAGGCTTAGCCATCTTTTCGCGAAATCTTCAGAATTAGGTTATATTTGGTTGGGGATTGGATAAAGAGAATTATTTTATAATATTCTACTACACCTACAATATTTGAATGATGGTAAATACAAGTCAAGGAATATCAATTACTTAATGATCTACCTAGACTTTGAACCTAACAATCACATAGTTATATGAAATTTATCATCAACATTTGACTTAATTTCTTTAAGCATTAATACAATACTTTATGCAATTTTTATAATGTCATTCAACTAAATCTATATCATTTTTTTGAAAGAGATTGCATAAAATACAAATATAATTAAATAATTTTTTGATGCCTTTGCAAAGAAAAATTTGACTATTGTTAAGACCAGTAAGGCGTCTTCTTCCAAAAAAAAGTCTTTTTCAGGTAATTTCACTAAGAGAAGCACGTATAATAGGCTCTTCAAACTTAACTAAATAGATGATTATTTAATAGTGAAAGGCTTTTTAAAAATATTTTAATTTCTGCATTTTTGCCTTTGAGGGAATTTGTTTCCTCCCCCCTGCTAGCCACGCATCTGAGGTGCAGACATAATCAGATATAATTTACGTGTGCCCATTCCTAACGCATCTCTTCCTTTTGCTTTTTTTTGGATTTTGATTTAGATGACTCACAGAAATATTTTTTCTTTTCTAAGGTTTTATTATTTTTATTAATTTGTTTTTGAAAGAGATAACGTTATTATCTCAAAAAATACCCCCCCCCCCCCTTCCACATAAAAAGCAGTTGATTATTTTTTGACTCCCAATCTCAATTACAAGTTTTATAAATAGTTTTTATTACATCAATCTTTAATATATAAATAAATGTAAAAATATATATTATTTTTAAATGAATAATACAAATTAGGGTAATAAAAAGCGAAAGAATTTATAATTTCATCAATATTTAATTGCTTAAAACGTTGCTTCATTGATTATATTAAGAAAAGGATCACTTATGGTACTACGAAGTCTTGTTAATTAGTTTAATTTTTCTCATGACCCTTTCGGCACAGAGTGAGGTAGTAGGAGTAGTTGATAAATATTTATATAAAATTGATAAATTAGGGAAAGCAGAATAATTAGAAACGAATAGTTTTTCCAGTCTGAATCCTAAGTCTCAGAATCATTATCAGAAAAAGAATCTAAATTCAAATTAAATTTACAATTCTCAGAATCTGGGAAGTCTTTCGATTTTTTTAACCTCCAGGTCATGTGTAATACATCCTTCTTTTAAGCTATGATATAAAATTTAGAAACTTAGACATTTCTTCAAAAACTTCACTCTAATTCAAATAGTAATCTTAATATACTCGATATCATCTTTAACAAATGTATTTCCCTATTCCATATGCTGAAAATGATGCTTAATTTAAAAGAATTTGTCGATTCATCATTAAATCTTTCACTAAACTGCATTATTATCAATAGGCAGCATAAAACAAACTGGGTTTAAAGCAAAAATAAAATATGATAATTAATAATGAAAGTATATATATGCCTTCCCTTTTTGGTGGTAATGTTTGAAACCTAGACCTTTCAAAATCAAAGGGTATTTCTCCCCTTTATAAAATCTTGTGCCTTTAAAAAAGATTCGATGTTATTCTCTAATTAGATTAAGAAATGATAAAAGAAAATCATTTAAATTATATTTCCCAAATTAAACATACAAACTTTTGCCAATTGAATTCGATTTTGTAAAACCCTATATCCTTTGACATGGTTTGCAATTTAGTACAAGTCAAGCTTGTTAACAACAATATTTTATCCAAAACACTAATTAATAAAATAAAATAATTTTTTTTCTTATAAAATTTGCAACACAGTCATGGTAGAAGTGACAGGATCTTCAGAATCCGCTAAATCTGTCAAAGCTGCCCTCAAGGCATCATAAAGTAGAAAAAGATAACAAAGCTTTATATATGATGATAGCCAGCTTCTATAAAGATATAAAATACACATTTTAAGATAATACTACTTAGTGTTATTCTTGAAGTGTAAATATCATTTCGATTTTGTGAATACATCACTCTGACATGCTTTGAGCACAACATATCTTTTAGCACAATTGAGGTATGAATGAATCACTTCTAAGATCCCGAAAACATTTCTTAGTTCTTTTACCAATTCGTTTAATTGACAATGATTAAATTTAATCTATAAAAAGCACCAAAAAAAATTTCTTTTGGGGCCTCAGCTCTAATCAAAGCTTGTACTCCATAGATTTTACCTCTCATGTTTGAAAGACCATAGTTTTACCTAATTAAAAACCGTGGGGTAGATTTTTGGAACTAAGTTTGCATATTATATTTTTTTAATATCAAGACCAGTCGTGTTACCCATACAATATTATACTCCTTTAACCGGCTTAGGAGTTTGACTATTTTCAATATATCCTACTAACAAAGCTATTGCTTCGATTTCGAAAAATCATATGTACCACCATATCATCAACTATAATTGAAAAGCATCTGTTAAATTTAATTTCCTTTTGCATTTTTTTGTAACCGTATTTTTCATGGTTTCTAGAGTATATTTACAGGGTTTCCCACAAAAAAGGAAAAGTTTCAATCATAAAAGGAAACGGTGCGATCAAAAAAGGAAAAGGGTCAATCATAAAAGGAAAAGGTCCAATCAAAAAAGGTAAATTAATCAAAAAAGGAAAAGTCCCAAAGGTTTAGGAAAAAGTCCGATCAAAAAATGAAAAGTGTCAAACAAAAAAGAAAGAGAATCAATCAAAAAAGGAAA